CAATCATATTAAAAGAAAATTATGGGTGGTAAATCGTACGGTATCCTGATCAATTTACGATTTCCCCCAAACTAGAAAACCTTTGAATAAAAAAAATACGGTTTGCCAGAAGGAGCAGTTTATGCACACGATTTGGTCAAATGAAACTGAATTTCATGTATGTGTTACATACTAATAGTATATTGGTAGATGAATAGGGGCGAGAATGTTCAATCTCTCAGTTTATTTAATCTCGTGTATCGTATATGGTACTGAAAAAAAACCTTAATGTTATTGCATGATTAACTGTAAAATAATAATAAAACCAAATCATCTTCATCTTCCTCTTCCTCTTCCTTCTTCACCCACTCAAATCTCCAGCCGAGATAATCCGATTGGAGTGGATGAGCGCGCACCATTTTCGCATTGACGGCGGCTCGAAGACGTTCGATTTTTGGGTTGGTCGAATTACTGATGAGGATGATTGACGATTTGTGATAGCTGATGATAAATCTGGTGAGGTGGTTTCGAGGTTGCTATGCCTTTTTCGCCAATGCACATAAAGAAAGATTTAGACTAGTGCTGATTTCCTACACCATTATGTGATTTCGTCTCGGTTATGTCTAATGCGGTTTCTATATGCGATTCGATCCATATTTCCAATGCATTCTCGTACCAAAAAAATATGAATCCCTGAAAGATGAATTAAATGTGTAAATTCTGCAGACAAACACATCAATGATGGTGCTCCGCATGTCCTTCACTTTGTTTGCATACCGTATCATCACACTTCCCCAATCTCTTTGACTACGACCCTCTTCATTCGATTCGGCTCCCCGAAATCGTTTAAATCGTTCGCGAGGAACAAATGATATTTCAAAAGATCGTTGAAATTCGTCGGGAACAGATTTTTATTATTTTTGTTTTTATTTTTTGGTGGTCACAGACACGTTAAAGTGACAAGAAAAAAGAATAACAATAATACTTGTTTTAAAGCAGAGATTATTGCACGCACGTATATTAAAAAAAAAAAAAATGGTTATACGTGATTCTTTTTTAGTTTAAAGCGTGCGTGCTTGTCATTCGTCAGCAGAAAAAAAAAAAATTAAAAAAATTAAAACAGGATTCGAACAAGATGTTAAAGAAGGCGTGCGCATGTTCTATTTATTAATTCCGCTGCGTGCACGGCACGATCAATGTGATAAAGCTATGCGACGTCCGACAGGAATTCTTCCTTGCTGACTGATTTACACTATTATATTTCGGGAAGGAGGAAGATTTCGAAATATCCGGAACCATGTCACCTACGATGATCGGAACAAAAAAATTGGTTTGCCGCGGAGTCGTCAACCTGACGTCGAGGCGTCGGACCTCTCAAATCTTGAGGAGGCAGCGCATCAGATTTTCGAACTAATGAGACGACGGTAATTGAGAAGGAGGGTGAACGGATTGAGGAGTCGTGGGTTCAAGACTTGAACCAGCGGGAGGTAATTGAGTGAAGAGTTGATAAAATAGATGGTTATTGTAAAAATAGGTTGAATGAATCCCAAAAGAATGTCTCGAAGGAATTGGCAAAACTTTAGTTAATGAATTTTTATATACATCATACATAATTTTCCCTTCAAAAATTATTATTTCTTACTTTATTGCTGATATAAATAATTTATTGAGCAATCGGTTTTTTTTGAGAGATTATATTTGTGCTCGTACTATTATAGATGTTTATTTTACATGTGTATGTGTATAATGTTTTCTGTGTTCTGT